AAGGAACCAAGATAAATGGCTTCAGCAAAAATGAAACCTGTGGCAGCGACATTTACAAGTCTTTAAGTATACGTAGAATTATTCCCATGGGAAGGTAACCAGATGTTCTCTGTTTATGTGAGGGAAAATAAAGGCATTACTGGATTTAAGTTGTGCCGTAAGAAATTTAGATTAAAATATAATCAAAGGTTGCTGACACAGTGCTGCTAAACAATAAAATTAACTGATGAGTTATAGAACCTCTTCTCTGAGTATCTGTCTCAAAAAACTAGAGTGGACTAGAAACTCATGGTATTACCATCTATAGCACAAATGAACTAGTATTAGCAACATGAAAAATGTTGTTACATAATAGACCTTTAAAATTATATAAAATTTAAAATATCTGTGGTGCAATAACTATATTTTAAATATATAAGTGTTAAAATAAGAATATTCAAACACAAAACATACATATTGAAAGTATTTATTTAAATCAAGGTTAATAATGTTTCTTAATCATTCAAAAAATAACCAGCGGGAACTTCCGGCTGAGATGGAGGCGTAGATAGACACATTGTGCCTCCTTGCACAACCAAAATAAGGGCAAAAATTTAGAAACAAAATAACCAGAACTGACAGAAAATTGAACTGTATGGAAATCCGACAGCCAAGGAGTTAAAATCGACACATTCGTCCAGACCAGGAGGAGGGGTGGAGTTGGGCAGGCAGCCTGGCAAAGAGAGGTCCTGGCAAAAGAAGCAGGGGCACCGGGCGTGCAAAGCAGCAGCTGACAAACCCCAGGCTCGCAAGACAACACCGGGCAGACCCTGGGCACGCAGGCGGCGGCTGGCACTCCTTGGGCACAGGGTGGCAGCAGGCAGATCCATTGAGGTGGCGATTGTGAAGCGGGACACGGCAAGTAAAGCTGGGCAGTCCAACATTCACGCACAGATAAACCAAGCACAATGGGGAGTGAGACAGATGGCACAACCCAGGATCCCAGCTCAGCGAAATAAAGCTTCAAAATACAGATTAAAAACACCAGTGGGGGTTGAGGTACCAGGAGAGACTCCCAGCCTCACAGGAGAGTTTGTTGGAGAGACCCACAGGATCCTAGAACATGCACAGGCCAACCCACACAGGAACCAGCACCAGAAAGGATGTTTGCCTGGGGGAAGCACAGAAGGGACTGAAACACAACAGAGAGCAGAGCAAGCACCATTGTTCCCTCTCAGACCTCGTCCTCACGTACAGCATCACAACCCAGTGATTGGGTTGACCCACCCTGGTGAACACCTAAGGCTCCACCCCTTACTAGGTAACAGGCACGACAAGACAAAAAAATGGCCCAAATGGAAGAACGGATCAAAGTTCCACAGCAAATACTTTTAAGCAACCAAGAAATAGCCAACCTATCAGATGCACAGTTCAAAACACTGGTGATCAGGATGCTCACAGAACTGGTAAAATTTGGTTGCAAATTAGATGAAAAAATGAAGGCTACGTTAAGTGAAATGAAGGGAAATGCACAGGGACCTAAAAGTGATGGAAAGAAAACTGAGACTCAAATCAAGGGAGTGAACCAGAAAGAAAGAAAGAAACAACCAAACAGAAAAGAATGAAGAAACAAAAATTCAAGAAAATAAGGAGAGGCTTAGGAACCTCCGGGACATCTTTAAACATGCCAACATCCAAATTATAGGGGTACCAGAAGAGGAAGAAGAAGAGCAACAAATGGAAAAATAATAAAGGAGAACTTCCCCACTCTGGCAAAGGAAATAGACTTCCAGGAAGTCCAGGAAGCTCAGAGTCCCAAAGAAGGTGGACCCAAGGAAGAACACACCAATGTACATCATAATTACATTAACCAAGATTAAAATGAAGGAGAGAATTTTAGAAGCAGAAAGATAAGTGGACATTCACCTACAAAGGAGTTCCCATTAGACTGTCAGCTGATTTCTCAAAAGAGAGCTTGCAGGCAAGAAGGGGCTGGAAAGAAGTATTCCAAGTCATGAAAGGCAACAACCTACATCCAAGATTGCTCTATCCAGCAAAGCTTTCATTTAGAATGGAAGGGCAGATAAGTTCTTCTCAGATAAGGTCAAGTTAAAGGAGATCATCATCACCAAGCCCTTATTATATGAAATGTTAAAGGGACTTATCTAAGAAAAAGAAGATAAAAAAGATGTATGAGAAGACAGTGCCCATAGAAGTCGGAATCCACTAAGGAGTGTGTAACAACTCACCTGCTGAATCAACTAGCCCTGAAAATGGATGGCACTGGAGCATCGGGCCCATACCCAGCCATTGCTGGCAATCAGTAGTACCCAAAGCAATTTACAAATTCAATGCAATACCTATTAAAGTACCAATGGCATATTTCACAGACATAGAACAAACACTTTAAAAATTTATATGGAACCATAAACAACCCTGAAAAGCAGCTTCAATTTTGAGAAAGAAGAACAAAGTAGGAGGGATCACAATACCTGATACCAATCTGTATTACAAGGCCACTGCAATCAAAACAGCCTGGTACTGGCATAAAAACAGGCACATAGACCAATGGAACAGAACAGAGAGCCCAGAAATCAACCCAACTCTCTACAGTCAATTAATATCTGACAAAGGGGGCAGCAATATAAAATGGAATAAAACTAGCCTCTTCAACAAATGGTGTTGGGAGAACTGGACAGCTACGTGCAAAAAAATGAAACTCAAGCACCAACTTACACCATACACCAAAATAAAATCAAGGTAGATAAAAGACTTAAATATAAGCTGTGACACCATTAAAGTCTAGAGGAGAACATAGGCAGGAAAATAGATATTTCACGCAGCAACATTTTTACTGACATGTCCCCTTAGAGCAAGGGACATAAAGGAAAGAATAAACAAATGGGATCTCATCAAAATTAAAAGCTTCTGTGTGGCTAAAGAAAACAGTATTAAATAAAAAAGACAACCAACTGTATGGGAAAACATATCTGCCAATGATACCTCAGACAAATGTTTAATCTCCAAAATATACAAGGAACTTACATGACTCCACTCTAAGGAGACAAGCAACCCAATTAAAAAGTGGGCAAAAGACTTGAACAGATATTTCTCCAAGGAGGACATACAGAGGATCCAGAGACACATGAAAAGATGCTCAATATCGCTAGCTATCAGAGATGCAAATTAAAACCACAATGAGATACCACTTTACACCAGTCAGGATGGCCATCATAAAACAAAGCAACAAACAACAAGTGTTGGAGAGGTTGTGGAGAAAAGGGGGCCCTAATTCACTGTTGGTGGAATTGCAGACTGGTACAACCACTATGGAAAATAGTATGGAATTTTCTCAGGAAACTGAAAATGGATCTGCCTTTTGACCCAGCAATTCCACTGTCAGGAGTATATCCTAAGAACCCTGAAACATCAACCCTAAAGAACCCATGTGCCCCAATGGTCATAGCAGCACAATTTACAATAGCCAAGTGCTGGAAGCAACCCAGGTGCCCATCAGTAAATGAATGGATCAAAAAACTATGGTACATTTACACAGTGCAATTCTATGCAGCAGAAAGAAAGAAGGAGCTCCTACCCCTTGCAACAGCATGGATGGAACTGGAAAGCGTTATGCTGAGTGAAATAGGCCAGGTAGCGAAAGACAAATACCATATGATCTCACCTTTAACAGGAACCTAAACAACAAAACAAACAAGCAAGCAAAACATAACCAAAGACACTGAAATAGAGAACAGGCTGGCAGTGACCAGAGGGGGGAGAGGAGGGAGTTTCAGGGGAAAAGGGGAAGGATTCACAGGAACAAGTATAAAGGACACATGGACAAAAACTAAGAAGGGTGGAAATAGGAGGGAGGTGGGGAGCACTGGGGGAGTGAGCTGGGATGGGAGTAAAAGACAGAAAACTGTACTCGAACTACAATTTAAATAAATAAATAAATAAAAACACATATAGTAAAATGACAGCAAACTCACAATTATTAATAACCACACCTAAAACAAAAATGAAAACAAAGCAAACAACTATATTAGGAACAGAACCACAGAAATGTAGATCACATGGAGAGTTAGCAACAGGGGAGTGGGAGGAGGAGAAAAGGGGAAAGGTACAAAGAATAAGTAATATAGATGGTAGGTAGAAAATAGACAGGGGGAGGGTAAGAATAGTATGGGAAATGTAGAAGCTAATGAACTTACGACACATGGACATGAACTAAAGTGAAGGAATGTGGGTGGGAGAGGGTGTGCAGGGTGGAAAGGAATGAAGGAGAGAAATTGGGACAACTGTAATAACATAATCAATAAAACATAAAAAAAATAATAACCAACAGCACACAGACCAACAGCATGTGACCAAAAACACATAAAAAATTTTTGGCTCACATAATTTACAGGCATTTTCATAAAAATAAAATGAAATTGCTCCTTTTTCAATAAAAAGAAGAAATTAAAAAGGAATGAGTAAGAAGTTAAAGAGTGATTCATTGTTATCTGAACACTGTATCCTTGAATTTTAGAAAAAGTGCTGAAAAACTGTAACATAAATATATATTTTTACAGGTTTGTAAATGCAAATTGATAGGAATAACTAAATTCATGGCTCTGTCAAATTACTCCTAATGTTCTCTTACACTCTTATAATTTAATATTATTAAGTTCAGTAAATAAACATAAAGGGCAACTAAAATTAAAAAGCATGAGGAGGTTCCTGTCCTGAGCTCTAACAATGTCTGGGAAGTCTGATATGCAGACATGCCATACTTATAATTCTTAAAAGAAAAATCTTTAAAAAATGTTTAGAAGTCATCAAAAGTTTAAAACTCTAAGTCCTAATAATTTTCCATGTGAATAGGAAATCACTGCAATAATGACTCTGTGGCCTGTTTGCTTCCAAAATATTTTGCAGTTGCACTTTCTATTGACAAAAAAATAATTCCAGTAATTTAGTGTATATTAATATTTGTTGCAGTTGGCATAATTTAAGAAGTGAACATTTTTCTTTACCTTTTCTACTTTTCCTCCATTGATGTCACTGGGGAGGAATTTCTTGCCAATGGTTCTCAAGTCTGTCTAAAATAAAAAACATTATTATTAAAATATAATTATAAAGAAAAGTTAATCTAAATTTAGTCTCAATCACAAACAAAAGATAAAATTACTTAAAGTTTATGGAGTAAAATTTAAATAAATGTCTTTTAGCTGATTACGAGATCTACATACACGATCAATCTTTTCAAATAACTCAGACCCATACATGAGTTATTTAAAGTGTACCAGTAGGTTGGACATTAATACACAGATAACCTTATTTCTGGTCATACCTCTTTAGGTAACCTTTTAACTTACTAAATATTCTCAAATTAATTCTAAAACTTTATTTTATGCAAACTATATAGCCTTACTACAAAAGTAATGTCACAATTCAAAACCAAATTAATTCATAAAAAGTATACATTTTTGACAAGTAAATCCTATATAAGCTTGATATACAAAGACATGAAAACACATTATTCTATAGGCTATAATAACCGTAACATAACAAAGCTATATGTCCCAGGGAAGAATTCCATCGCAACAACAAGAAATTATAGTGAGAGTTACCCTTAATAAAAATGTATTTAATTTGCCTAAACAAATTATAAAAATTGAAGTTGGTAAACAAATAACTAACCATATAAAAATGCAGAAATACAGATTATTCAGAAAACTAAAAAGCAAAATACAAAAGGGGAAAACTTAAGGAAGGCCCAAGATAGAGTTATCACATTTCTGACATAAAACCAGAACTTCAATTCCACAGTCTTCATAAAAAGAAGAACTTTTCAGGATTTTTGTTTTCTTTGGGAAGTAAAAAGTAAAGGAATGGTAAGAAGTTTCTTCTTAGGAAAACTGTCAATACTCATGAAAAAGGCCTAATTATTTAAGCTAAGACATTATCTTGAAAACAGAATGTGAGGTTCGATTAATAAATTTGTATTGTTTTGTTATTCTTTAAAATATAGCAAACAGTAGCTCTTCATTGCCTTAAGAGCAAAATGAAACAGACTTAGAGTGCCTTTAATCACATAAATTACAAGGGAGAAATTTATATCAGACTTAAGGAGAAAACACTAGATGATTAAAATTATTGCAATATAAAAGGAATACATATAGACAAGCAGGATAGTCTTAACTATCTATTGAACATCTATAATAGTAGAATATTATTTTATTTGAAATACCCATACGTGGTCAGCTGAAGACAGAAGTCTATGTCATACAATCCCCACAGATCTTTCCAGTCTTTTCCTACCATGATTCATAATTTATTTCTCAATATAATACAGGAATCACTCCTCAACCAAAACACACCAAATGAACTGCCAGGCAAACTAAGCCCCCAAATCCACACATTTGTGTAACAATGCTTTGGGCTTACCCTTTTTGCAGCCTCCATCCAATAACAGAGTGAACGAATTATAAACCATACTTCAAATCATAGCCTTTTCACTTTGAAAATACTGAGTGACATATGGGGACAAAATACTTTCTTATACTACTCTTCCCTGTATTAGGATTGTTTTGAAGATTAAATGTTAATGCATGAGAAGCACTTGGCACAATGACTTGCAAAGAACAAGCATTTAATTCATGTTAGCTATCATGTTTATTTTAGTGAATATGAAACATGTACATTTTATCACCAAAAATGTATAACCATTAAGTCAATACTATAACTAACAGTTCATAAAAGCATACGCATTATTTTGAAGTCACTCAAATGCCGCAACATTTAAATATATGTGAGAAACAGAGTATATACAAATTTTATGGTATACCATTCTCCCTCATTTCTGGTTTTTATCAATAATTATGAACTAAACTAAATGAAAATGAGGCATTGAAATGAAAGTAGAAATGATTCACTGCATAACTAATATGATCTTGGATACCATCAAAATTTTTCTAAATCCGCCCTGACTGGTGTGGCTGAGTGGACTGATAGCCAGTCTGTGAAGCAAAGAGTCACCTATTTGATTCCCAGTCAGGGCACATGCCTGGGTTGCTGGCCAGGTCCCCAGTGTGGGGAGCACAAGAGACAACCACACATTGACATTTCTCTCCCTCTCTTTCTCTCTCCCTCCTCCTCATTCTAAAAATAAATTAAATCTTAAAAAATTTTTTTTCTAAATCCAGTTAATTTATTCCTCTATGAAATGGGAGATTGGAGGGAGGAATCACCAACCCTATCTCACAAAGTTGTTGTCAGGCTCAAAACAGACAACATACTCCAAGTTTAAATAATTTTTTTAAAGTTATATATACATATAGTTAACGTTATTTCATTGATCTTTTAGCAAAAGAAAATGAGCTACCAAATCTATAAACATGCTAAGTTCAAAGTCAATTTATAGTACTACAAGATAATCTTATGATTCAGATGCCATTATACCAAAATCCTAGTATACATAGATACAAAAATACACTTATATTGAACATAAAAAATTATGCCGGATAAAAATTTAGCTTTTAAATACACATGCATATGTGCACACACAAAAGATTCCTATTTATTCAAGTTAAGTTCAACAAAATGTTTATTTGGCAAGTCAATTTATATGATATAGAATCTTTAAAAAATCTGTTTTTAAAGTTTTACTAATACATAGTATTCATTTTAAGACTGGGCTAGCACCTTAATTTTTTTTCTGAATAATTCATGTATTTGAAACTAAAACTACATGTCAGATTTTTTTAATATTCTTACTCCATGTTCTTCAATATAAAAAATAAAGAACCTTTGTTTTCAACATAAGAACCTGCACAGAAAATAATCACTTACCAGCTCGGAGGCTACTCTCTTCATAAGGACCTGCTTTTGCAAGGTTGGCACGCGGCTGGCATATGGGAACTTTGCACTTGAACCATTTCCTAACTAAAAATGTGGTTCACTGCCTAGACTATCTGTATAAACAATACGATTTATGGTGAACACATGTGTTTTTGGAACACAGGGGGAATCCAGAATTTTGTTTCTTGTAGGCAGTGAGTACCTTCATGAGCAGTCCAAAGAAAGCCTTCGCTACCAGCCTCTAATGGACTTCCCTGGGCAGAAACATTGTGTACATCTTATTGCATTATTCACTGCTGGTGAAAGGAACCAGCTCAGTGTGTCCCCAAAAAGAGAAGGGGAACATAAGAAAGCTTGTGCATAGATTATTAATCCCATATGTAATAAATTGTATACATTAAGAACCAATAATGCATGTCTTTCTTAACTAGTGATCAACAATCATTCAAAAGTTGAAAACCAATTCAACAGAAATACTTTAAATCAGGGGTCATTAACCTCCCTCCTCACTGTCCGTGGACACCATGCCATTACTGCCTGAGCTACCCCTCCTGTCTTCCCTGCCCCCCACTCCAGCCCATGGAAAAACCATCTTCCATGAAAGCAGTCCCTGGTACCAAAAAGGCTGGGGACCACTGCTGTAACTGTCTAAATTTTTTAAAGGTGATAAATTTGAAAAGCACATTATTTACTGATGACTTCATTTTGATTAAAAGTTTTTTTCCTGTTATATGGTATGATAACTTAGATTGGAGTATTCAACTATATATTTCAGAGAAAATTATAAAGACTACTTAATTCATTAAAATGATGGTCATCATCCACTTCCCATGTGCACAGAGCAAATACTTCATCTTGCTCTGTTTTAAATTTCACACCCAATTATAAATAATTCATTGCTATTTACCTAAGTAAATAAATAAGAAAAATAAAGAAGAGCAAGATATTGTCACAAAAATCTTTATTATGTTTAGGATTTTTTTAATAAACAAAAATAGAGTTCTTTACAACACTTTTGAAAGTAGAATTCACTAATTTGACTGCAAGTTGAAGAAAATAAAAGCGACTAGGGAGTATTTCCATGTGTAGTCATAGATAGCCTGCACACTTTCTAACTAATGCTTACTTAAAAGAAATTATGGTCTTGTATTAAGTTAGCTCAGAAATATACAAACAAAAAAAGACCTTATTAGGCTTATTGATAAAATTCAAAGAAGCTGATGAATGAGATTTCAAAGCAAACTGTAGCTGTTTAAATTTTATTATATAAGTATAAATTTAAGTAATTTGAAAAGAAAAAGTTATCTGCAGTTATATACATGTTTATTTATATTTTAATTGTTATCAGTTGCTGCCATTCTTGCTTTATGTTATACTTATTTTGCAGTAATATGATGATTATGTCAGACAGTAATTGTCTTATAAACTTAATTATGTGTCATAACATCTAAGTTTTGGCTGATAGACTGTTATTGTAAAGGCAACATGAAAATTCCCACTGATGTAACTATAAGATTATAAAAAGAGTATTTGTGCCCTGGCCAGATGGCTCAGTTGGTTGGGGCCTTGTCACAGACACCAACAGGCTGCAGGTTCCATCCCCCATCAGTGCATATACCTAGGGTACTGTTTCTGTCTCCCGCAGGGCGCATATGGGAAGCAACCAATCAATGTTTCTCTCTAACATCAATGTTCTCTCTCTCTCCTTCTCTCCCTTCCTCTCTCTAAAATCAGGAAGTATATTCTCAAGAAATGATTAAAAAAAGAAAAAGTAAAAATATTCATTAACATATGCATATTTAAAATAATTTTTATAACTCTTCAAAAAAAATCCAAAAGCCAATCCCAATTATAGAAAAGATACAGCTGTTCAGATGGGTAGAGGGAGAAAGAGTGGAAAGAAATACATATCAAAACATTAACAGTAATTATAAATAGCTTAAATTTTTTTATTTTGTTTTATGAAGTCTTTAATATGTGTTACTTTTATGAACAGAAAATGTTATTTTGAAATAATAAATACAATTGTTAAAAAGCTATAACTTGAGATCCTATGTTAATTTAATGGCAGTTTATTTTAATATATATGACCAGTTTTTACTGCTACTATACAAATAATGTAAATGCTATGAAATTATATAACTGAGCACTGGGTTAAACAAGTTTTAATTACATGTTTCCCCTTTTCATTGTATGCCATGTAATAATTATTAAAAGAAACATGTTTCTAATAATTTGATGATATGAGATTAGCAATTTCAATAAACATCAGTTAAAATGGAAACTAAAAAAGAAGTATTTATTATTCCACATTACTCATAAAATCCAGTTTATTCTATAAAACATTTTTCATGAATATAGCTTCCAGATTAAAAATGTTAATAAATAAAACCTACATTGAGAGCAATCGGGATGATGTCATTTACATTGACTTTGTCAGGAGAACTTGTGCAAGCTTCAACACCTTCATTTGAAAGATACCTGTTGAAAGAAAATAAATGGCTTAATATTTTCTAAAATCAAAATTAACCAAAATTATTTTTTAAGTTAACATGCAATTTTGTTCTCTACTATGAAATGCCTCTACAAACACCAGGGGAAAAGTCCTTGACATTCCCTGATTATTTACTATATCTGATAGAACAGAATGGAGAGTGCATTATTTTTCCTCTTTGTATCCTTAAAAAGATATTTTGTTAATACAATTAAAACATCAATACATTTCTTAAGGACTGTATAAACTACTCTTTACCATTACACAAGTATAATCTCTGACTTAAACATTTGGTAATAGAGTAAACTCTTGGAGACTGAGATGCACTGTAAAAACAGAGCTAAGACAACATAATTTTAAACTTAGTCCAAAAGAAATTTCCTCTGTGCTACTTTCTCAGGTTATCTTCTCAAGTCCCCTTTCTTAACCACAATGTTCCCCCAAATCCTTCAACTGACTGCAAGTAGCAGAAAGATAGGCAACTCTTTACCTTATAACTTGTACTCTTCCTGTATCTTTTCAGTTTACTCATCATTTTATTGACCTTTGTTCTTTTAAATAGTCCAAACTAACCATATATTTGTCACAGGCAGTAATTAATTCAAGATTACTGAATCTGAGCGGGGGGGAGATCATCTCTAACCCATTCATTATGCACAACACAGCCATTTTGAAATTCTTTGACAAATTCTACAATTCAGGTTTCACCCCCACCAAATTTCATCTATAAAAATGCCCATTAGCATCTGACATGTTTTGTGATAAGTATCAACTCCTTTAACCAAAGGGTGAGTGCTAGCCACTGCACCTGCCAGCATCCTCCCATTAGACAGAGGAGTACCAGGCTGACAGCTAGCCCAAGCTCATTCCTGACAATCAGCAGTTCCATCATCAAGCCCCAACATTAGACTGATTCTCAGATACTTGTCAACTTGACTTGGAGACGGCAAGCAAAGGGCTTGTGCCTTAGGAAACAAAATAAATGACTTCTGTAAAGTAAAAAGAGCAAGGGAAAAGAAATGTTAATTGAAGAGTATAAATGAAGACCAGTAGATTAAAGTTGATAAGCCCATGAACAAAATCAAGGAGATAAAGTCAGGAAAGTACACATACAAATCAAAGAATGTGTTTAGACTTTTGCCAAGGTGGAGGCATAGGTGGAAACACTCTACTTCCTCGCACAACCAAATCTAAAAACAACAAAGTTTTAACAATAATAAATGCAACCAAATTACCTAGTACAAAAACAACAAACTGCTCAGCTAAACCAGTGAGAGGTGCGAAGCCAGCAGCAGAGCTGGTCAGGCAAAAAAGATCCCCTGACCCGGGCGGTGCACAGACAGCCGAGGGCATGGACCCCAGGTGCAGGGTAGCTATGGTCACATCCAGGGAAGGCGCAGAGGCGCGGCTGGCTGTTTGCAGTTGCGCATTTGCGCGCAAATAAACCAGTGAAGAGACAAGCATTGAGACAGATTGCGCAGGCCCCAGTGCAGGGCAGCGGGCTGGCACATTTGCCCGCACATAAACAGGCAGGGCAAGCGGTGAGGCGGCCTGGGCGAGCGAAGAGGACCGCCATTGCTCCCTCTCTGACCCCACCCCCACATACAGTGTCACAAACCAACGACCTGGGTGGCCCCGCCCTGGTGAACACCTAAGGCGCCGCTCCTCGTATGTAACAAAAACGAACAGATCAAAACATGGCTCAAGAATAACTCAGAGCCCCGGAGCCAATAAATCTAGGTGATGAAGAAATAGCCAAACTTTCAGATGCACAGTTCAAAACATTGGTGATCAGGATGCTCACAGAACTGTTTGATTTTAGTCACAAATTAGAGGAACATATGAAGGCTAAACTAAGTGAAATGAATGGAAATACACAGGAAACCAACAGTAATGGAAAGGAAACTGGAACTCCACTCAAAGGAGTGGACCAGAAGGAGGAAAAAAATGACCAAACTGAAAAGGATGAAGAAACAAGAATTCAAAAAAAGGAGGAGAGGCTTAGGAACCTGTACAACATCTTTAAACGTTCCAACATCCGAATTATAGGGGTACCAGAAGGGGAAGAAAAACAGCCACGAGTGGAAAATTTATTTGAACAAATAATAAAGGAGAACTTCTCCAATCTGGCAAAGGAAATAGACTTCCAGGAAATCCAGGAAGCACAGAGAGTCCCAAAGAACTTGGACCCAAGAAGGAACACACCAAGGCACATCATCATTACATTAGCCAAGATTCAAATGAAGGACAGAATCCTAGAAGCAGCAAGAGATAAGGGGGCAGTCACCTACAAAAGAGTTCCCATCAAACTGTCAGCTGATTTCTCAAAGTACACCTTACAGGCAAGAAGGGGCTTGAAAGAGGTATTCCGAGTCATGAAATCCAAAGACCTATATCCAAGATTGATCTATCCAGCAAAGCTTTCATTTAGAATGGAAGGACAGATAAAAGTGCTTCTCAGATAAGATTAAATTCAAGGAGTTCATCATCACCAAGCCCTTATTATATGAAACGTTAAAGGGACTTACCTAAGAAAAAGAAAATAAAAAAGATGAACAGTGAAAGGACAGCAAACTCACAGTTATTAACAACCACACTTAAAACAAAAGCAAATTAAGAGGACAGCTAGATCAGGAGCAGAACCACAGAAATGAAGATCATATGGAGAGTTAGCAACAGGGGAGTGGGAGAAGGAGATGAGGGGAGAAGGTTCAGAAAATAAGTAGCATAGACGGTAGGTAGAAAATAGATAGGGGGAGGGTAAGAATAGTATGGGAAATATAGAATCTAAAGAACTTGAGACACATGTTCATGAACTAAAGGGGGGATGGTAGGGGAGGAGGTGTGCAGGGTGGAGGGAAACAAAGGGGGGAAATAGAACAAATGTAATGGCATAATCAATAAAATAAAAAAAGAAAAGAAAAAAGTAAACAAAATCTTTGAAAAAGAAAAAAAAGAAAGAATGTGTTTAACAAAATTAGGTACTATTAAAACTTTAAGACCATGGAAGGCTAAACTGTTATGATGAATGAAAGCAAGTGAGTTACAGAGAAAAAAACATATACAAGTGTTAAGTATATAGATGAACCTGTAAGAACAAATGAATGGGAGACAGTTATAATAGGACATAAAGGATGATGAAATACAAATGTTTGCAGTTAGCACAGATTGTTAAAACATACTTTGATTCAAAATTGCCAAGTAAATTTCCTTATTATCCTGTTAACTGTTAATTTTGCACTGCTCATAGCCATTGACTGTATCTCTCATTAATTATCTTATATATTCAGTTCTACAAATATTAATAAAGTCCTTTTTATGTGAAAAATATTATGATTCGGTAATAAGGTTAGTAAAATGAGGGAAATGAACCACCTTCCTTTAAGGAGTTCATAGTCTCATATACAGCATAACATAATACATAAACACAATACAAATACACATACTTTGTGTGATAAACAGCTATCACACAAAGCCAAAATAATTATGAACAAAATGTTAAAGTCCTGGCCAAGTGGCTTAGATGGTTGGAGTGCTGTTCCATACACCAAAAAGGTCTCAGATTCAATCCCTGGACAGAGCACATACCTAGGTTGTGTGTTTGATTCCCTCCTGGGGTGTGTATGGGAGGCAACCAATCACTGTTTCTCTCTCACATCGATGTTTCTCTCTCTCCCCCCTCTCTCGCCCCTGCACCCTCTGTCTCTCAAATCAATAAATATGTTCTCGGGTGAGGATTTTAAAAAATGTCATAGGGACTCTGAGTGGCTGTGGGATGAGAAAGACTACATACAAGGGAATGGTATGAACAGAAATATGCAAGTAAAAAAGTGAAGCACTTTCTAGAGGTAATAAGCTGGAACATTCTGGTTGAAAAATGGGGAAGAAATGAGAGCTAAGTATAGGATGAGGCTGATTTCAGAAATCATCAGTACACAACAGAATATAGGTGATATTAAATACTAATTGAGTTATTACAAAAATGCAACTTTCAAATTCCTACACAATGGGAAATAACATAGAGTCACTAACAAAATGCTTTGTTTTCTAGAAAGGCAACTCTTTAGCATTAAAAGATTATAGGATGTCAGATGACCTGGAATAGATCATTAAAATAATCAAAGTTCACCTCTTCTATTTTACAGCTATATAAAAGGTCCAAAGTTGTTCATAAACTTGCCCCAAAATACAAACTTAAGTGATACGAAGTAAAAACAAGAATGCCTTCTGACTCTCAGTTTAGTAGTTTTTTCATTACGACACACCACTTTTAAATTTATTTTTATTGTTGTTATTTTTTATTTTTTATTGCTTCCACTATTACAGATTCCCATTTCCCCCATCCTTACCTCCCCTACTGAAGCTCTGGCCATCCTCACAGTTTTTATTTACAATACACCATTTCTATTTATCAATAACTAATGCTAATATTAGAAATGTGAGCTTCTCATAAACATAAGTCAACATCTATACAAATCAGTTCCTTAATCAACTAGATGCTTCACCAACACACACAAAAAAACACAACTAGGCAACTTCACAGTAAGCACCTAAAAATATTTTAAAAGAGTAGGTATGGATTTATAGTAAAATATCAGGGAACTAATACTGAAAGTTAAAAATTCAAAAATTGTTATAACAATAAAAATACCAATCTCTGTAAGATATAAAAAGGGAAAATCTATAAATATTGTCAAGGCAACAGCCACAAGGGGTAAAAGAAAATTTGACCCTCCATGTAGCTCAGTCTCAATTTGCAAGTTTTACAAGTCTCCCTTACTCAACCTTCATGTTTTGAAAACATGAGGCTCAAAAGACTTGAGCCTCACAGCTGTCCTCCATCAGCATCAAGAATCAGAAGCACTCACAGCTCTCCCACTAATACTGGTGATCCTTCTGTATCCACTGCACCATTTTCACAAAAGGACTGAATCTAAATTAACCATAACATCGATTTATAAAAAAAATCATTTTGTTTTTGTAAACA